CAACTCCCCCAGGACCAACGAGACGCCATCCTCCTCGTCCTACGGTCATACGCCGTTGTCTTCGCGTGGGGCCCGGACGATATGCCAGGCATCAGCCGCCAGGTGATCACTCACCGGCTGACCGTCGATCCGGCCTCCGCGCCTGTCAAACAGAAGCGGCGCTACTTGTCCGCCGACAGGCGGGACTTCGTCAAAGGGGAGGTCGCCATGCTCCTCTCAATCAAACACATCAAAGAGGTGAAGTACCCGACATGGTTGGCCAACGTCGTCCTCGCACAAAAGCCGCCGACGTTCAGAATGTGTGTTGACTACACTGACCTGAACAAGGCGTGCCCCATGGACCCGTTCCCTCTCCCCAACATTGATCAGCTGGTGGACGAGACGACGGGGTGCGAGTTGATGTCGTTCCTCGATGCTTTCAGAGGGTACCACCAAATCTCCATGCATGAAGATGACGCTGAGAAGACGGCATTCATGACCCCAGAGGGAATCTTTTGCTACCTCGTCATGGCCTTCGGACTCAAAAACTCCGGCGCCACCTACACTAGGATGGTGGCCAAGATCTTCAGAGCGGTCCTTGGCCGGACGATGGAGGCGTACGTCGACGACATGATCGTCAAGAGCAGGCAGGCCACCTCCCACGCCGACGACCTCCGGGAAATCTTTGAAATAATGAAGGAGTTCAGGCTCCGCCTCAACCCCAAGAAATGCGCCTTCGGCGTCCAGGGCGGCAAGTTCCTTGGCTACATGGTCAGCCGGAGAGGCATCGAGATAAACCCAGAGAAGACGCAGGCTATCATCAACATGGAGCCGCCTCGCAACGTCAAAGAGTTTCAACGACTGACGGGGCGCCTGGCGGCCTTAAACCGGTTCCTCTCCAGGTCAGCCGAGAGGGCACTCCCCTTCTTCCAGATCATGCGTAAAGCCAACAGCTTCAAGTGGACGACGGAATGCCAGGAGGCATTCGACGAATTGAAAAGGTACTTGTCGTCCCCACCCGTGCTCTCCAAGCCTAGAGCCGGCGAAACCCTCTTCTTGTACTTAGGGGTGAGCACGTCGGCCATCAGCTCCGTGCTCATCCGTGAGGACGAAGGGGTGCAGAAAGCCATCTTCTACATCAGCAAGACACTCATATCCCCTGAAGGATTCATGGACCCTGTTCACTGACGGCTCGTCGGCCGCGAAATCATGCGGCGGCGGCGTCGTCCTCATATCCCCTGAAGGATTCAGAGCTTACTATGCCATCCGCTTCAACTTCAGGGTATCCAACAACGAAGCCGAGTATGAGGCCCTCCTCAGCGGTCTCAGACTCGCCGCCGGCCTCAAGGCCAAGCACCTCAAAATCAAGTGCGACTCCAAACTAGTGGTGGGCCAGGTGGAGGGATCGTACGAGGCAAAGGAAGGCCGGATGAAGCAGTATAAACAAGCGGTGGAGGAGTTGTTGAAAGCGTTCGAAACCCACGAGATCACTCAGATCCCCAGGGCCGAGAACGCCGAAGCCGACATCCTCTCCAAACTCAGCTCGGACACCCCGGAGCACATCTCCCAGTTGGCCAAGATCGAAGAGTTGAGCATGTCCAGCATCCATGCCAGCCCCGTCTTGTGCGTCCAACAGCGACCAGAGGACTGGATCTCCGACATCGCCACCTTCATCACAACGGGGGAGCTGCCCACGGACGAGGAGAGGGCCAAACTTGCCAAACTCCGGGCCCCAAGCTACACCATCGAAGATGGCAAACTATACAAACGGTCCTATAATGGCACTCTCCTCTGATGCCTGCACCAGGACGAGGCCGACATAGCCATGGAAGAAGTTCATTGTGGCGTCTGCTCCTCACACCAGGGCCCTTTCAGCATGTCCCGGCGTCTCATCGTCCAGGGCTTCTTCTGGCCGACGATGGCACGCGACTGCGCTGACCTGGCCAGGAAGTGCACCACATGCCAGGTACTCCAGAGGGCCCCTGGTCGGCCAGCTGTCAACTATGCCCCTGTCAGCACCGCAATTCCATTCTCCAGATGGGGGATTGACCTGGTCGGCCCCCTGCCCAGAGCCGCCGGGAATAACCGCTACATCGTCGTCGTCGTCGATTACTTCACCAAGTGGGTCGAGGCGGAACCCCTGGCCAGCATCACGGGGGCCAGATGCCAAAAATTTGTTTACAAGAACATCATCACACGCTTTGGCGTCCCCCAGGAGATCATATCAGACAACGGCACCCAATTCGAGGCAGCCCCTTTCCAAGAGCTCCTCCGGGAGTTTGAGGTAAAGCATCGTTTCTCCTCCGTTGCCTACCCTCAGGGCAACGGGCAGGTCGAAAACGCTAACAGAACAATTATGGAGGGGCTGAAGAAGAAGCTCCAGGCCGCAGGAGGTAGTTGGGTCGACGAGCTCCCCAACATCCTGTGGTGCTACAGAACCACGCCGAGGAGGGCGACAGGAGAAACGCCTTTCGCCCTGTGCTACGGCTTTGAAGCAAAGGCGCCCACGGAAGTTGCCATCCCCAGCCGACGGGTGGAACAATATGAGCCTGACACCAACGAAGAGAACATGAAGATTGACCTACACCTGGTTGACGAGAGGCGTGAGCAAGCTTACGTCCGAGCAGAGAACTACCGGCGTCAAGTAAAATCATACTATGACGCCAAGGTACGTTCCCGGGAATTTCAGGTGGGGGACTACATCCTCCGCCGGAGGGAAGCAAGCCAGCCGACAGAGGGTGGCAAGCTAGCATTGAAGTACGAAGGGTCCTACATCGTCAGTGCCGTGGTCAAACCCGGCACCTACAAGCTTAAACGCCCGAATGGGTCCAATGTACCACGAACATGGAATGTACACCATCTGGTGAAGTTTTATCAGTAATCTGAAGGAGGTGTAGACGGCGAAGCCCTCACCCCTTAACGGGTTACTGATTGAACGCCACCCTCGGCCTCGAGCCACTTATGAATAAAATCATGTTCTGATTTTTTCTCTGGAAATTCAAAGTATAACATTAGCAGGTGCCCTCGTCGGCCACCTTAGAGCGAAAGGCTCAGGTCTGGCCGACATGGCCCCTTGCATTTGCAGCCTACGAGCGACAAGCTCAGGCACTCCATTGTATTTTGTATCAGCGAAGGGCTCAGGCCTAGCTGAGAGAGCACATCGTCCTGGCCCCGTAAGCCTAGAAGTGAAACACTCAGGTATGGCCGACGATGTCCCCAGGACGAGGGGCCCGCAAACGGCCCACGTCTTGAAACGGGAAGCTTACCGCGTCGTCCACGCGCCAGAACGCAGGACGACAGGCCTGAAATCATGGTCGAGGTGACAAAATCCCAAAACTCAGGGATGGGCAACGACAGCAGTTGGAAACCGACCAAAAGTCTAGCCTGCGTCATAAATAGGCGACGGGACCCGCCCTGAGACCACGGACGTTATAAACGAAGTCCGAACCGGCCGAAGGACGAGCACACCCTTCGGCCGAAGCGTGAAAGAAGGATACCCCCCGAAACAAAAAAAAAACATACAAGGGAAAAAGAGGGAAGCCGACGGCCGTGCACACTTGCCGGCCTCGAGCAATGAAAAAATAAAATCCCCACAACTCAGGCCCAACTAGGCCAAGTACATATCAGTTGAACACAAGTGTAGTACCACTGACAGGCAACATGGACGACACGTCCACACACTACAAGGGAATAATCAAGGCCGATACACACGCCTATGAAACCCTAACCTCATCGATTGGGTGACGCGCGAGAGGTGACCTTCATCGGCCATAGTCCTTTGAGGCACCAACGCTTGGTATGAAACAAAGCATCGCAATCCTGAGGATGACCAGGACGAAGCGGGGACTCATCACACCCGCGAAAGGATCAAGCAATCAAGAAACAACCTCTACTTGCCACAGCATCTCGGATGGCCGACGCCGGCACTGGAACCAGGGCTGTTGGTCAAACGAAGACCTCACATAATCGGATTTTATACTTACTCATTTGCACAGCCCATTAGTGTCTTTGTATTCGGCCCAGTAGTGGTCCAGTTGTAAATGGGCCTCCCAAGCCCAAGGCTTGGGAGTCCAACCCTAATTTTCTCTATAAATACTCCCCTTGGGAGTAGTTATAGGGGTTACAAATTCATTCTATTGAAGCATATTATTGCACTTCTCTCTCTAGCTCTCACCTCTCTCTAGATATACTCTATCACTTGTTGAATGGGCATGGCCCATCCTCTTCCCCTCACTCCAGCTAGGTCTGGAGAAGTGAGCGCAGTTCTGCGCAGCTCCGCAGAGGAAGGGAAGTTACGTCCGTCCTTATGCCGCCGGACAGGGAGGATGACCTCGTCGTCACCGGCAAAGTAGGGGCGCGGCCCTTGGTTCCCATCGCCGGCTATGAGCATCTAGCCCAGCGTGCAAGCTGAAGATGGAGCTCGTCTTGGTTCCCATCGCCGGCAAACCTCGACGGCGGGCGATGCTTTGATGGGGGCGGTGGAGCTCGTCTAGGGCTCGTACATCGCGCATCAATCTCAACTTCGATGCCTACTGCCGGGTCGGTTCGGACCTGGACGGATACCGCAGGTTTGCAGGGGTCTCACGGATATGGCGGTTGTAACCTGAAGAGCCGGCTGTGCTGAATCCGTAGGGATGGTGACGGGAGCTGCAATAAACTGGTGAGCTTCAGGCACTGCAGTGAGGTGAGCGAGCTTCGCAACGGTCGTAACAGCTCCGATTGGTTTACTGAGTCTGCCGGAGTTCGGATTCAGGGGAAGCTCCAGATCCAAAAAAGTCGAGATTTCTTCATTTCTTGTTTTATTTTCCAGAACACCTTTTGGTTGATTTTTTGTGATTTGGATGAGTTTTTTGTATGTTTTGGGAGGATTTCTCACTTGATTTTGCTCTAATCTCTCAACGAGAGCACCATTGATGGATTATTAGGATCCAAGTATGTATAAAATGGAGAGATTGAGCTAGATAATTGGAGAAGATGGATGAATAGTAGAAATGTGATATTGTGTATGAATTATGAGTTGTGAAAAGTTAGGTTTACAAATGGCTCCAAGAGGAGTATAAATAGGGAAATAATGGGCCGGGCCGCTAATATGGGCCCGGTAGCCCAACTACATAAAAGACTAATCTAGTACATAGTTACATACAAATGACATATAAGCAGTACAATAATACAAATGATATCCGTAAGATGTGTGTGGGCCGCTGTCCGGGCCCAATAGTCGTGAGACCCGGGGGTCCGAGTCTATATACTCTATCAGATCCTAAAATCAGAACAAATGAAACTAAATAAACAAATTCAGTCCAACTAAAGGGAGATTTCAACAAATAGGACTTAATCATACTAATTTTCCAAAATTAAGACTATAGATAAGGGTAAGACTTAAGTACAGGAGCTTTGACCAAATTGCCCTCCCTATAAAAATTAAAAATAGAATACTCCTAATCGACATCACAGTATCGAAGGACACTGCACTACACAGTCGCTGCCATGGCCACCGGCGACACACCAGCCACCGCCGCAGCCAGTAACACCGCGCCCTCTAGTGCGGCTGCCTCCGCCGCCTATCTTCTCAGGCCTGACATCAGCCTGAATCTTCCCCTGGCACCACCTCTGGCGAGATTGCTCCAGATTTCCGCCATGACAGCCGCCTCAGGCCACTCCACTTGCCGCTGCCGAACCGCGCCAGTCGCCGCTGAATCGCGCCAGTCGCCGCCGCCGCCACGCTGCACCACAGCGCACTGGTTTCCGATGTCTTCTTCTTCTTTCTTTTCTGTCCGATTTTGATAGCGTCCACGAAGATTATAAACGAAGAAGATGGTTTTGGCCTTAAATCGGCAGGATTTGGGGGCGATACGGCCGGCGGGGTGCGGACGGCCTTCAATCGGCGGTGGACGCTTCTGCAAAACTTTTGAAGAAATCAAATCCAAAATCAAACTTTCAAACACTAGACAATACATAGACATTAAGTAGTCAGTAAACAGACCATAATTTCGAATAATAACTCAATATCAGACAAAACATAGACAATAAGGGTAAAATTGGAAATTTAAAATCAAGTTTTCAAAACTAGAACTACATAGCTCTTACGAAAGGAAAAAACATGCATATGTACTATTTTTATAAAAGTGCTTTGATTAGGTCCTACAAGGAGCAATTTTCTCCCAACTAAAAAGATAAGCAAGTGCATTAAACCAAATAAATTTCATTATTTTCCCCAAGTCTTGTACAAAGGATTCAGTGAATTTTGAAAACGTCAAACCAAAGTAGAAAACTCGAATAGCTCTCTTCCTTCTTCTTCCCCAAATACTTTTCTTTCATCCTCAAAAAGGCCCGCATTCCAAAATTAATCCTAGGGCTTCTTAATTCGCCGGTACGTTTCTCGCAATGATGGCGAGCTCCTCCCAGCTCGCCAAATCCGCCATGATTTCGTTTTCTAAACCTCCGTTCTGTCTATTTGCGGTCTACCTTTTCATTGCCGTCTTCTGGTCGTCAACATCCGTCCGGGGAGAGTCGACCAACAACCACATCCTGTTGCCGTCCGATCGGGACAACGGCGTCATATGCCCCCCGATCCAGGAATCTCCCGCTTCCTGCCCAATCAACTGTTTCCGACCACACCCGGTTTGCGGCGTGGATGGCGTGACCTACTGGTGCGGTTGTGCCGATGCTCATTGCAACGGTGTGCAGGTGGCAAGTTTAGGATTTTGCGACATCGGGAATGGAGGGGCGGGTCAAGCCTTTTTGCTGGTTCACATTATTTGGCTCATTTTACTTGGTATTTTCGTGCTCTTTGGGTTTCTTTGACGCAATCAGGTCTTCACTTCTTTTGGTTTTCAGATTTTTTGTTGTTGTTGTTGGTTTTATACCGCCCTGAGTTTCAGATGAGACCATAGATAGATTTGTATAACTAATTCATCTGCATATATCTCACTTATATTTGTAACTTATTTACTTACAATCAATTGTTCCACACTGTTAAAATTACAATATTCATATGTTTGTGTCTTCGATCTTCATTTTCACTGCAAGTTGTGTCACAATTTTGTATTTTCCCTTGATGATTGCACATTTCTATAAAGAATTGCCATTTCTTTTTGTCTTGCTGTAAGTTCATACTACTTTGGATTTGACCATTTCTGTACAGAATGCTTCTTTGCATACCAAACAATTTGCTCATCTGTAAAGAGAATGTACATACAGAAAAGACTCAAAAAGGGTACTAAAAAAAGAATGCTCATTGTTTTCTCAGGAAGGGTTTTGCTGCCATTTTCGGAAGCGTTTTTAAGTCCAATGCCCTCAGTTTAGGTGTTTGTTTGGGAGAACATTTAAATTTCTTCCTAAAAGTATTAAAATCAAGATATTATAAAACGTAATTAGAAGCTCAACACAGATTTATTCCTTCACAAGTTTCCGGTATGGGAATTTAACACCCCTCCTCACGAACAGACACGTCGTCTTGATCGTGCCGTCATTCATTTTTTCATCGTTTCATCACTGTCAATTTTTTTATAATCGTGTCGTCAATTTTCATAAGGGGTTCACACCATGGATCGATTAGGCTCTGATACCATGTTAAGACCTGGGGTTCCATCCTAAAAAGTCAACCTGATAGGAGGAGTAACCCATGTCTAGCACTATTCCTTCACAAATTTCCGATATGGGAATTTAACATGTTCTAACATTTTCTAGCCTTTTTACACTCTTAGACATCATTTAACAACTTATGATGCAAGCTTGGATAAAAGCATTCCCCATTTTCCCTCCCTGAATTTAAGATTCACCTCCCTTTCTCTTGTATAGCACAAATATACCAAACATGTATGGGTATAAAAAGGAAACACAAAATGGACCAGATAGACCAACGCAAAGAAAGAGCGGAGGAAAATTCCAGTATTTTGTCATTCTCTATGTCCCATTTTACCTTTCATTATTACTGCTAAATGGTAATCTTCTTTCTTAATTCCTTTTCTGGGTCATGCTAACTTAGTTGTTAGGATAATGGTACTAAGTGTGATTAATTTATTCAAAACCATTGGCGCGTTCATTTTTAAAGCATTTGTTTTGAATTGTATTCTGATCTTAAACATGATGCCCCAAGGACTATAGTTAGCATTTGTCTTGTTGGATAGTAATCACATAGTCATGCCCCTACAAGGCTACAATTATGAAAATTTTCTTTTCTTGTTAAATTTGGGAGAAACGTTTTCATGCCCTGAAGTACATATTACATTAGATATTACTTCCTCTGTCTCTTATAATTTTATAAGTAATTAATTTGTGTTCCTTATTATTTATCTCCGCACAAATTCTAATCTCATACTAAGGGGTAGTTTTTATTTTGTTATTTTGTATCGGTCAAATCAGACAAAATTGTAAAAGAGTGGATGAGAACTCGTTACCAAGACATAGCGCATATCCTTCAACCCCCAATCCTCACTATTGTCCAACAAATAGAATGTTAGTAAATGAGTTTACATTGAAAGTCTGCAAGGCTATATTTAATCAACTTCTTGGCATATCAAGATTGTAGAGGAAAATCCTACAGTATAATGCGTTGAGCGGTTGTTTTGGTGTACTTTACTTTGTACAGGATTACATTGTGCTCTTGCTTTTTAGGGGGTTTAATGTTTTATTGATGTGAAGTGGATCAACAATAATTAAGTTTTTTAACAAAAACACCTCACATATTATTGTTGATCCACCTCAATAAATACTTTTTAGGCTATTTTAATTTTTTCCAAATCATTTTCAACCCAGTTTTATTTAATATTTTATACCTCGTAGTTAATTTCGTGCAAGTTCAGTAAATATATCTTGCCTTAGATCCAACTCGTAACTCAATTCTGGCCTGATTGTCTTTCACTTTTCCATTTTACCATTTTTTTAATCAAAGAAAGTTTTATTAAATAGAAGAAGAAAAATACAAACGCTAATGAACAACAAGAAAAGGATCAATAAATTTAAATTATCAAATAATATGGATTTATTCTACTTTTTTTTACCAAAATCTCTTTTGATTTATTCTATTAATAAATAAATTAACACAATCTGACAATCACCTCATTTGACCAAGAAAAGGATCAACAAATTTAAATTATCAAATAATATGGATTGATTGTCGCAAGTGTCGCAAGTACTACTTATTGTCAACAGTTGATAAATATACCACTTGAACTATAAATATACCATTTGAACTGTTCCTGGTTCTATACTGAAATGGTCTTCTATGCTTTTTTTGTACCCCTGGAGTCAACGGCAGAGGAAGCTTGGGGTAAACAGTGTTGAAACCCTTTCCCTGGAGTTTCAAACCCGAGATTATGGATGGACCCGGGCCGGTTCTGGTTCGGGCTTGGGCCCAGTCGGACTTTTTTTTGGGAATGGGTGAACCGGAACCGGCTTGGGTGGGCGGCGGTTCCGGGCCGGTCCGGTCCCGGTTCATTTTTTTTTTGATTTCTTATTTATTTCAACCCCACCCCCATCCCCCCATCCCCCCAAACCCCTCGGAAATACCTAGCCCCGCACAACTAAACCCAGCCCAAACCCAAAAAAAAGGCCCGAATCGGGCCGGGCCAATTCACTAAATTGAAGGCCCGTACCCCACCCGCCCCAACCCCCGGGCTGGGCCTAGGCCCGGAATCGGTTACCCAAAACCGGGCCGGTCCGGGCCCGCACAGTAGCGGGCCGGGTCGGTTTACAGCCTGAGCCCGTTCCATCCCTACCCGAGATGGTGTGTATTCTTTTAATTCACGCATTTGTAGTGTGTATTCTTTTAGATCTCTGCAAGTTTTCTTTTCTTTTCGATCTCTTGTCCATTCGAGCAACATCTGTTTTTCTTTACGCATGTGAGTGTGTCTTGACAGTTCATTAAAAAAATACTTATTTTTATTTCGGTGATAACCATTTAGACTGATATTTAAAACATGAGTGATTAGCTACACTTATTTTTTGAATGTGCTCACACTTCAATTATACTATCATTTCATTTTAAACCTTTTTAAAATGATATTATTCATGGTTAATTAGAGACATGTTGAAAAAACAATATACATGATGGATAGTGTACTCAAGGGTAGCTTATCCGAAAGGTTATTGCGGAGAATAACTAGAGAGAAGTCAGAGCAAACAAGTAAGAGAGAGAGTGTATATTCGATATGAATTTTGCGTGCCTTTTACAAGGTGAATAAGGGCTGCTATTTATAGCAGCTATAAATGCGATGAGAGTACACGTGTAACCAATCTAACGGCCGAGGGGTCACCTCAATCGGGGTGGCACCGACATATGCATGTGCACCGCATTAAATGCGCTGGGTGGATGTGACACCGTATTGAATGCGGTGGTTGGCTATCTCTAAAAGGAATCTTCGTCGATAGTTCTGTTGTCGAAGGCATCGTGTGGCCGAAGGCATCATGTGGCTGAAGGCATTGTGTGGCCGAAGGCATCATGTGGCCGAAGGCATTATGTGGCCGAAGGAATCGGGTGGCCAAAGGCTAACATTTTAGCCAGGATTTTCCAGAAGCTTTGCAGGACCATATTAAGATGTCTCCCAAAACTTGTAGCCCTCGGCCATAGGGCCGAAGGCATCCACGTGTGCAGCGTGGGCTTCTTCATGCTTGGGTCACTACGTTTGGGTTTTGTGTGCTCATCGGGCTTGATGAGCCTGTGTAGAAGAAGCAGGAGTCTGTGGGCCGGGGTGTCCCGGACCATATACTCCATCAAGAGTCCCCCACTCCTTTTGTCGAGAGTTTCTCGAGGGAAATAGGAGTAGTGTCTTGAAGTTGTCGATGGCTCCCTTTCTGTAACTGAAGAATAAGAATTTTCAAGTTTGATCATTTTTGCTGAAGGAAGTAGATTGTCGTTGTGATCTTGCCTCAGCTTGCTGTAGCTGAGAAATAGAAAATTTTTAACATTTGCGTGTTTTGCCGAGGGGAGTCCCCAGTCCCCCACTCCTTTTGCTGAGAGCTAATCGAGGGAAACAGGAGTAGAGTGATGCATGCCTTCAGCAGGAGGCGACGAGGGGTGACGCCTTTTGTTCCACAATGGGGAGATGCCTCGTTAAAAACCTCATTAGGAAAAAACCCTGTGGGAAAAAAAATCCTGATGAGGGAAAAAGAGTACACCGGATGCCCCCAGAATGAAGCAAAAGGAATGCACCCTTTGGCCTAGATTGTTGAGCGGTGGTTGTGTCCGTCCGCTGAGGGGATATCCAAGACCAGCCTTAGATCCTGCATGAAAAAGTTGAGGAGCCTGTAAGGACCCCTGTTATCAAATAAAGGTGACAGAGGGGTGCAAGGCCAGGTGGGCCTGTGTGAGAGCCCCTGACATCAAATGCAGATGTCGGAGGGATGGAGGCTGAGGGGCCTATATGATAGCCCCTGGCATCTAATAAAGATGCCAGAAGGATGAAGGTCGAGGGGTCTGTGTGATGGCCCCCGACATCAAATAAAGATGTCGGAGGGATGAAGGCCGATGGGCCTGTATGATAGCCCCTCGCATCAAATAAAGATGCTGGAGGGATGAAGGTCGAGGGCCTGTATGGTAGCCCCTGGCATCAAATAAAGATGCTGGAGGGGCGAAGGCCGAGGGGCCTATGTGATGGCCCCCGACATCAAATAAAGATGCCGGAGGGATGAAGGCCGAGGGGCCTATATGATGGCCCCTTGCATCAAATAAAGATGCCGGAGGGATGAAGGCCGAGGGCCTGCATGATAGCCCCGACATCAAATAAAGATGGCGAAGGGATGAAGGCCGAGGGGCCTGTATGATGGCCCCCAACATCAAATATTTGATGTCGGAGAGATGTAAGGCTGAGGGCCGTTGTGATGCGGAATCATGCTGAGGCCGAGGGCCGTTGGTGATGTAGAATCACGTTTAGGTCGAGGGCCGTTCGTGATGTAGAGTCACGCTGAGGCCGAGGGCCGTTCGTGATGTTAAATCGCGCTAAGGCCAAAACCGTTGTGACGTAGAGTCATGCTGAGGCCGAGGGCCGTTGTGATGTAGAGTCACGCTGAGGCCGAGGGCCGTTGATGATGTAGAATCACGTTGAGGTCGAGGGCCGTTCGTGATGTAGAGTGTTGCTGAGGCCGAGGGCCGTTCGTGATGTGAAATCACGCTAAGGCCAAGGGCCGTTGGTGATGTA